TTTCTCTCTTATCCACTAACTCTAAATAGGTCAAAAAGGTAACAGTCTGAACGGGCCCCGTCCGGATCCAAAAAGTGAAGTTAGTGAAAACGGGCTCAAATGCCGATGGTCCATGAACAAAAAAGTTTCAAAATGGAATTCTAAGGTCAACAGAAGAAACATGGTCAAAAACCGAGTTCTGAGGGAGGAGATATGCTCCGGACAAGATTGACAACTAACAGGGTTCGAAAATTCAAATTAAATGAAATAAAAATCCAAAAAATATTCTGAAAGTGCCAGAGTCTATAAAAAGTGAAAATAAACCTTTCATGAAAGTTTGAATCCAAAATGAGAAACTTTTTCGAAAACTTTTCATAATTACACAAATGTCCCTCCACTAGATAACTCAAAAAGTGAATTTCTCAGAAAGCCCAAAATGAAGTATCATACAAAAGATACATTTAAAAGAACCTTAAATACAAAATTTTATCAAAAGATAATTACAAAAAATACCCTAAGTAAAGAAAATAATTTTATCAAAAGATAATTACGAAATATACCCTAACTAAAGAAAATAATTTTCAAGAATCTTTGCATTTATACCCCTACGGGCAAAGGTGAACATCTAGCATGTTTTTCTACAAAAGTAAAAATTTGGATCACATAGAAATCAGGTAAAATGAATCAGTATCAAATCCAAGCACGACTTAATAAGTTACGCAAAATTGAAAAGATAGTGAAAAAGTGATGGAAAAAGAAAACTCAAAAAAAGAAATCGATAGAAAAAATTTATTGTAAAATTTGAGGAAATGGAAAAGAATGAAAAATGATCGGGTCATTACAGCCACTGCCATCGACTTCCATTACCACCACCACCGATGCCGCCACCTCCACCGCCACCGACTTCCATCACCACTACTACCTTCACTACTACTGCTATCGCCATCGACTTTCATTACCCCCACCTCCACTGCCACTGCCACTGCCACCTCCACCGCCTTTCACTACTGCAACATCCATTGTCTTCTTCCACCACCACCACACCATTGTCACTGCTATTGACTTCCACCATCATCAACTGACGTCTTCCACCATTACCGCCAACGTTACCACCTCTGTTTTTCGCCACCGCCACTCACCTTACAACTGCTTCCCACCTTCACCACCACCGTCGCCACCATCAACCACCACCACCATTTCTTTTAAAAACAAATTATAAAATAATGTTATTTTACCAATTTAAATTATTTGTCACTAACAGGGATATTTTGAAAATTTTATTTTGGAATTCATTCTTTTTTAAATTTTATATTAATTCATTCCTACTGATTTTAAATTTGCAATCAAATAATAGAATGACAATGACCATTCCATTTTATTTCATTCTCATTCTCATTCTCATTTTATTTCCACTCACATTCTATTTCATTATTGCACACCAAATGTAAGCATTAGGGTAATACTCTGTTATGAAAATTGTTCTCGTGAATTATTCTAAATCTCGTATTTGGGTCCCCAAATGTTTTCTTCCAAAAAATAATATGAGCGTGTCTTTTGTTTTGGCTGACAGTGCCGTTCTCATGGCTAGTAGCATCACATCATGTGAAATAAATGTCTTGTATCATTTGATCGGAAATAGAATACCATACAATAATGTAAATTTTCAAAAAACATGTAATTGACGATCACAAATTCAGAGCTTGGTTTGTAAATATGGGAATAGTAACTTATAAAAAAAACAAAAATAAAATTAAAAATTCTGTTTGGTTCACTTTATTAAAAACTAAGTTGTAAAAAAATGATGTTTTCTTTATAATTCTCTAAAACGAGTTTTATATTTAAAAAGAATTTTATATGTTCAGTTGTATATTTGCAACAATTATAATTAGGGAGACTATATTTGCATTCTATTTTTTTTCAATTACATTATATTTATTATTTTTTTAAAAGAAAATGACAAGAAAGTCCTTAAATTTATTAATGTATAATTCTTTAATTTATAATGTCATAACTACTCTTTATACAACTTTATTATTATTATTTTTTTATTTAATTTTTTTTCCCTTTTTTTTTTTTTTTTTTTTCGGAGGTCCTCTCAAAGAAAATAATTTATTTTATACTAATTCTTTAATTTTTGGCAGTAAAAGGGATAATTTATTCCATAGTGACTCTTTTTTTTTTTTTTTTTTAACAATCAAAAGAGATATATATTCAACAAATTTGACTTTTTTTCAATTTTGTCAAAAGAGGTAACTTTAATTTTTAGTAATTTTTTATGGGTAATGTCTAAAGAAATAATTTATTCGATAAAAATAACCTCTTTTTTTTATCGAATAAATTATTTGGTCTTATTAAAAGAGATAATTTATTCAATATGGATAATTTATTTTTAATCATCTTCTTTTTGTACATTTTATTATTATTGTTTTTTTTTTTTGGATCTTGACAACAGAGATAATTTATTCAATAAATATATTTTTGGGGTTTTTTTTTTTCATGGCAAAAGAGATAATTTTTTAAATGATTACTTTTTATTTTTTTATCTTGCCAAACGAGGCAATTTATTCAACATAATAGAAATTTTTTTTTTTTGGTTCCTTAAAAAAAAATTATTCAAATTTTATTTTATTTTATTTGTGTTGTCAAATATACTTAAAATATTAAAGATTAAAGATAAGAAGAGAAAATATGAAAGAGCAATTATATCATTTAAAAAATAATAATTATTTTACTTGTAAATGTAAGGTTAGATTTGTCTTTTCATTTAAGATTGTAGTGTAAATATTAAAGTGCGGATATCGATTTCCTTATAATTAATGCATCTTTGATACTTTTTATAGAACTTTAAAACATAAATTTTTTTAGACAAAATTACCCCTTAAAATTCTTTCGATCATTTTTATTATTTCCTTTATAGTTGATTTTTTCCTTATTTTTCCCTCTCCTCTTTAAATTCATATTCGAATGATTAAACAACAAGAAGAAGAAGAAAAAAAAAAAAAACCGTATATGAAAAAAATCTTCCTTTTACTTGTATGAAAAAAATCCCTTTTTCTTCAAATTATTACTATTTTTTGTTCAATTGGCTTATATTTCTTTTTTATACATTTGTCTTATATATATATATGGTCGCTTGATGGATTGAATTTTTATCATTTTAAATTTTAATTGAAATAATATTAAGAGATTGAGTTTTGATTAAAGTAAAATTGTAGAATTTGAATTTTAGTTAATGTATGAAATGTGGAAAGAGAGACGAGGATGGTTAGAATCCTTTCACAATATATATATATATATATATATATATATATATATATAAAGGAGAGGAAAGGAAAGTATTGAAAATAAAAAGAAAGAAAAAGGAAACGGAAGAATCTTTTCATATTAGAGCATCTCTTGCACTCTGTTAAATTTTTTTTTATTTTTTTGTAAAACATGCACCATCACATATGACATGTAAATTTTTATTTTTTTATTTATTTTTATCTCTTGCATTATGTTAAGAGCATCTTCAGTGGTTTGTTGAAATACATTTTTGTGTAAAATATACACTGCCACCTATGATATGTAAATTTTTTCTATCTCCAGCCGTCTGTTAAGATACATTGCCATATCACCAATATATAAAAGGGTTGTGTATTTTACACAATATGTTTATACTGTCAGATTAACATATTTCCTTTCCCGGCTATTTTTCTTGTTCCGTTAAAAAATCTAAGTTTGTAAAAGTTACGTGGGTCCTGACATGACACATGGTTGATTGTCATTAGGAAATATATTTTTACACAAAGGTATAAAAAACGGTTGGAGCTCAAATTAAATAATCTAAAATTTTTGTATAAATTCATTATGACATATCAGATTTACACAAAAAAAAAAAAAAAATACACAACGGTTGTAGATGCTTTAAGATACACTGTCACAGCATCATTGTGTAAAATTATTATGTATTTTACACAATTTTTTTACAGAGTCACATTAGTATATTTCATTAGCCTCCCTCTTTCTCAATCCATTATAGAATCAACTCTATATTAAGTAATTTTAGAATAATTATGTAGGTCCAGGCATGATATTAGTTGGTTGTAATTTGGGGATATATTTTTACACAAAATGTATAAAACAACAGTTAGAGATAAAAATAAATAATTCAAATCTTTTGTGTAAATATATAATGACATATCAGATTTACGAAAAAAAAAAAATATATACACAACTATTGGAGATGCTCTTAAAGTTTTATTTATTATTATTATTATTTTTAATCATTCACTAATATATGAATTTAGAGATGAGAGGAAAAAATAGGAAAATAAAAAAACAATTATAAAGGAAAGAATAAAGATTATATATATGTTTGTATACGACATGCACCAGAAAAAAAGGACCGAATTTGAAAGATTAATTTGGTATTGAAAATTGTTAAAAGGGTATATTTTAAAATAATTATCTTTTATAATTCTTTAAAACAATTTTATAATTTCTATGTTTATAAATGGCAATAACAAAAAATATAAGAATTCGCAAAACACAACATGGGGTATAAAATTGTTAAATGAGTTTAAACGTGTAGCATCCACTTATAACTATTACATGAATCATATGATATGATAAGTACAAGTGTGTGTCCATAAAGAATAAAAATCTATATAATTTTTCTACTCCATATGTAAGGAAAAATTCCGTACGAATTAATTACTCAAGACCAAGAGAGTCGAACCTATCAAAAGATACTATTAGTTAGGCAATCCAGAACAACTAGGTCGTGATAATTTGAAAGTGTTTGGTTGAATGATCAATTTTTTCTTATAACGAGGACGGAAATAAAGAAAGGAAAAAAGGAAGGAAGTACACGCGTCAAAAATATAAAAACACCCGAAACCAACGGCGATAGAAGCTTCCCTAGGGAACGCGACCATTTCAATGGAAGAAAAATAAAAGGAAACAGCCATATGCATACATTACATATATATTCAACCAAATATTTATAATAAAAGGAAACAACAATACATTGAAATTTCTCCAAATTCTACCTAGTCTTTTTCCCCTATAAGACAAGAACCGTGTCATTTCATTTGTTAGACCCCATATCTCTCTCTCTCTCTCCAATTATCTTATTGTTTGAAAGCGGACCAAAGTGGCCTTTCCCCATTATATTAAACTGTTGCATTATCTGCATCTAATATCATTTATATGGTTGTATCTCGGTTTTTCTTCTTCTTCTTCTTCTATTTTCTTTGATATTATTATAGTGGTTTGTATGTTGCGGATTCACGAAGAAGATCGAAACCTGTAATGGAAGAAGATCTGATTCACTCTCCACTTTTTGTCTATGGATTTTACTGCTGGGGTTGGGAGTTCTTGACTGCCCTTATAGTTTTTATTTCTTTTTAATATATATATTTATATTTTTTATTATTAATTTTCTCTCTATTTTGTTGGGTTTCCTGAAAGTTAATTAAGTAATCTGGGGTGAGGCTAGTTAATTAAGTAATCTGGGGTGAGGCTAGGGGGTAGAAAAGGGGGAATTAGGATGACGACGCAGAGGAGTGTTCCGGCGCCGTTTTTGACAAAGACTTATGAGCTGGTGGAGGATGGTTCCACAAACGACGTCATATCATGGAACCCGAGCGGCGATGGTTTTGTGGTGTGGAAAACTGCTGAGTTCTCTGAGGTTTTGCTGCCTAATTACTTCAAGCACAACAACTTCTCTAGCTTTGTACGCCAGCTTAATACCTATGTATGTATATCTATCTCACCGGAATCTTCCATCTTTTACTTTTTATTTCATTCCTTTTCTTAAATTTTTTATAATAATACTCCGTAAATTGCTTAATTTTCATTCAAAACTTTCCACCCAAAAGTACCGGCTAGTCAGCAACTATATATATATATATATATATATGAATCCATATATTTTCAAGTTAGAAAAGACTCCGTACTAGTACTTATCATACAAGTATACAAGTAATTTTTGTAGAGCAGAGCTGGTTGCTTCATGAATCAACCTGGATTAGGTGAAGGACAGAACAGTCTTTTCAGTATGCCAGATCGAATGGACCTTTTTACGTACGGAGCTGAACTTTAGCCAGCTGTAATACAGCTGTTCGTCGGCGGGCCCTTATCCGTTTTGTGCGTACAAATTAAACGTGGGAAAATACCAAAAAAATTCACTCCCTAGGCCTTGTGATCCATTGCCTGCCTCAGTACGGTGGGTTTTACGCCAGATGGGACCATGGTGGTTCATCAATTATGGTCGTACACAGACGATCCAAACCCTCTGTAAATTATTCCACTGTTGCTTGAGAGCAACGGTGCTACCTTTTGCGTGTTGTGATGGTAACTCTTTGTACTAAAACTTACTTCACATGCTCTCGTTTTCTTGTGGCCACCATCATCATCATGACGGACGGGGATTGGGTCTCCATGATACTCTCATTTCATCGTCCAAACCATTTTTATCTTTATTTCTCTCTAATAAATTACCATAATAGTACTCCTATTTACAGCTGCTTGATAGTATGCGCTTTAATGGGTATTTTATTGACTCTAATTTAGGGCTTTCGGAAGGTTGTGCCGGACAAATGGGAATTCGCCAACGCCAATTTCCTGCGAGGAGAAAAAGAGCTCCTCACCGAGATCCGTCGCCGGAAAAATGTGACGTCATCCCCGCCTCAAATCGGCAAACCTACTGCCTCCCTCAACGGCTCACCGTCGGCTTCCGGCGAGGACCTGGGTTCCACTTCCTCATCCTGTCCTGACTCCAAGAACCACGGGACGCTGGTGACGCCGATCACGGTAAGGTTTGCACATTTATCAGATGAAAACGAGAAGCTCAAAAAGGACAATCAGGTCCTGAGCTTGGAGCTGGAACAGACGAAGAAGAAATGCGAAGAGCTCGTAGGTTGCCTGAGCCGGTGCTTGAAGGTGGGGCCTGATCAGATCAACCGCATGATCATGAGCCAAGGAAGCCGTGGGTCCATCTTGGATGATCAGATCGACGATGAAAATAAAAATGAAAATGAGGAAAGTTTCAAACTGTTTGGGGTGTGGTTGAATGGGGACAAGAAAAAGAGGGGTCTTGATGAGAAATTAGGTTTTTGTGGGGCCAAAAGGAAAGAAAGGAAGATTGCTGATTTTCACGCGCCGTGGATGAAGATAACTTCGTCCTCTGGGGAGACCAGCAAGGTCTGTAACTGACGAATCGGTGCGTGACACCAAAGCAAAAAAAGGGGTGTTGTACTGCAAGTTCTGGTACGCCTCTCCATGACCCAACCGTAAGGTTGGGAAGTAGTGTATTTAAATTGAGATTAGTGTAGCAATAAGTTTTAGTCGGTTATATTCCAGAGTTGGAGATTAAAGGCAAGTATAATTTATCTCCCAACCCTGTTCTCAATATCTACCACTTATATACTTATAAATTGTGTGCGCATTCTAATTTAGATGGATATTAATGTCTGTGTATTTGTAATTTAAGAGTTATTCGCTATAAATTTCAATTATAAAATAGTTATAAAATAGGAGACGTGAGCCCGATCAATACATGGTTGATATTGCAATTATGATGACTTTGACGAGAAACTTCTTATATTATCAATTATTAAGAAAATTTGTACTTAATTTTTTTTTTATTATGATAAATTTCCTTTCAAAAGTTTGGTGTGAAAATGTTTTGGGACAATAGCGTGTGACTGTCATTTGAGACATTTTGTCAACTTCTTTTTTAAAGCGTTCACAAGAAGACTTTTCTATTTTGTTTACTTTTTATTATTTAATAATCCATAATATAAGAGCTTCTCGTCAAAGTCATCATGTTGAATATTGGAGCCATTTACAAAATTATGAGATTTTATATCAATTCGGTCGGTAATTCTTGTCGGATAAAAATAATTGGAAAGTGAAAGAAATAAATATAATAAATAACTTAGAGATTGGGTGATAGGGAAAGAATTATTTTTGGAAGAAGACTAATATTTCATGATCATCTAACTTTTTTAAATATATACAACACAGAAAAAATTAATCCATTACTAGTATGTTTTAACAGAATAATATGAGAGTCCGCTCTTTGAATGACAAGGGAAATCATTTATTTTTCCTTAGTTTTAACTTTTACCTTTACAAAGAAGAACAAAAAGCGACTTGATAAAATCACATGTTCATTTGTTTTTCCATTTATTGGGAATGAAAACAACTTTTGTTCATGGTATTCAAATGTAATTGGTGGACATTTTTTTATTTATTTAAAAATTTAAGTTGTTGAGGGGTGTATACCCACTCATTCATACATAATTACTTTTTTATTCGGATTTGATATGAGACAAATGATTCTTGTTACACCCTTTTCCACCCAAACTCGCAACGCCCTCGTTGCGACTTGGGCCACTATGCCTACTTAGGCTATAAACCCGGGGCCTCCATTTACTCAAAAACTCAATATGTTGGGTAATGTTGTATATCTACTCATTTATATTCTATTATTTTCCATCCTAATCCGATATGGTACAAATTACCCCTCTTACACAAAATTATTAAAGGAATAATTTAATAAATGGTAAGTATTGGAGGCCCAATTTAAAATACTACAAATAAGAAAAAAAATGTCAGTATAAAACTAAGTCACATAATTCGCTCAAACCACGGGCGTTCCATCGCTCCGCGCGTAAATTGGCGTTTTGAGAGCGAATTAGCCAAAAATTCACGCTTTCATGTTTTTGAATTCGCGAATTCATAATTTTTAAATTCACGAATTCAATTTAAGAATTCGCTGGTTTTTAAAGTTCAATTCGACGAATTATGTAAGGTAAAATCGCGTATTTTGTTCAAGAATTCGACGACTTTTGACAATAAATTCACGAATTTAGTGTGAATCTTGAGAAATTTCGATTTTACCCCCAACTTAAATAGACCAAATAAAGTTAATTATGTCAAAAAGTAATCAATTTAATTTAATTAAGTAAACTATACCCTTTATAGGTAAAAATCAAATAATATAACAATATACTTAATATTTAATAATACTTAGTAAAGAAATAAATGAATGAATAACTTTTCATATTCTGATTGTGATTTCTCAATTTTTTTCTCTGCTGTTAAGTGTTGGGTTCATGATTCTTGAACTTCTTTCACTAGTAATTTGACTCTTGATTCACTCTTATAGTCTTACTCTCGTTCCATCATTTCATATTCTCTCTGCTATTTCATATACTTTTCATATGTTTTTAAGCATTGCTATTTCAAAGATAATGATTGTTATCTTGAGAGTTTAAAGCAGGTTAAATGTATAAAAGATAATGTTTTTGAATATTGCTTTTTCTATTATGTCCTATTCACTGTTATGTTTTTATTTTTATAAAGTAGCTTGTTTGATTGTCATGTTTATTAATTTATGCATTTTTATAATGCAGGTTATATTGGTTGTAATGAACTCATATTTGTTTTACTACTTTATACTATTATAAATTAATATTTTATATATTGATAATGCGGCGCTTTAGCGGCGCTCCCGCTCTAAGATTTTTTGGGATATGCCGCTCTCGCGCTCCCGCTCTATGTGACTTAGGTATAAAATAACTTAACAAAAGTATTTACCAAAAAATAAATCATACAAAAATGGTCCAAAAACATATTCTTCCATCACAATTTTCAGGCCAAACGCTGAATTCAAAATCATTCCATTAAAGGCTCATTTGGAGACATATATTTCCTTCTCTCTCATCTATTTGGCATCTCTGTGGCTCAAGTTATGTCAAGACAACATCACCGGCGAACAATACAATCCGGCGACCATTCCAACTAAAGTCCCATCTCAAACACAATCAAAGTCATATCTCTTTCAATGTTGCACTTAGTTTGTGTTTTCATAGTAACAAAAAATTTCAATGCTTCATTGTCATGTGTCTTTGTTTATTGTGTTTCTTTTGCGCACCAGAGCCTTAAATATAAAACATTTTTTGAATAATGTAAAACGTTTACTTTATAATAAAAAAACATTTACTAAAATAATGTAAAATTTGCACTTAAGCAACTTACAAAATTAATTATACTCATGTAAAACATTCATTACACTAATGTAAAATTTTTACTGAATAATGTAAACTATTTACTGCCCAATATAAAACCTTTATTGAATAATATAAAACTTGAAATCCCAAAAATGACTTTATTGCAAATTTGAAGCTTCTTCATCGAATGCGTCAATGGCGAGAGGGCCGGAGAGAGAGAGACAACTACATCAATATAGTTTTGGACTGCAAAAGTGGGTATGTTCTTTAGTATTAGAGTAAGTCGCCATAAATATGAAGTTTCGTGCCGTAGTTAATGGCAGAAGGGAGAGGCATAGAGTATTTGCGTATTTAAACCCTAATTTATTTTTATTTATTAATTTGTGATGCTTTGATGCTACATAAGTGTTTGTAGGGAGGTGTTTGATGGGGTTCAAAATGGGTTGAGTTGCTCAGATTGTAGGCTTTGATTTCTGATAATTTGTGTTATATGTATATTTTTGTAATTTAAGGGTAATTTGGTAAAGTCAAATAAACTGTCTGAAGGGTAATTATCCCCCCACCCCCACCAATGTATAGGTTCTCATGTACGAAATTACTTTACATAAATTATCGTATTTGTAATTACTTTTTATTAAGAAAATTTCGTATTTGTCGAAATTTAAATTGTGTCTGCACTACTTACCATTTATTAAATTATCCCATTATTAAATGAGATTTTATTCAAGATTTTCATTCTGCATGCATGATACACACAAAAAATTTTATTTTTATTTTTCCCATTCACTTTCAATTAGTTTTCTTTTAGTATTTTTCTTCCTTCTAATCAAACAAAGTTTTTTTTTTTTTTTTTTTTTTACATTCCTCTACCCTCCTCCAAGACATTTCATGAGGCACCAGAGTTGCCTTAGGTAGTTGAGCCAACCCTTTAGTGTTCCTTTTTAAATGAAAAAAAAAAAAAAATAAAATTATTTATAAAAACAAGTCATATCTTAAAAAAAAGAAAAAAAGAAAAAGAAAAGTGTATGGGACAACTAGGTTAAAAAGAGGTTCTTATGAAAATAGTGGCGTTGACAGGGATTCGAGAGGTAAGTCAATGAAATCTCGTTTTTGAATCGTACTGAATGTTACGCATGCCGATACACGTGTTCTTAAATAATAATAAAAAAAAAAAAAAAAAACTAGGTTAAGAAGAGATGGCATTAATATATTTTTAAGCTACTAATTAAATTTTAACATGCTAATTAAACGTGTGATATTTGATAACTTGTTTAAGATTTAATTACACTTGTTTAATTGCACTCTAATACGAAGTATTTGTGTTAAAAATGGCCTTTATATTTATAATTTTAATTGTGCCATGTAACGATAGAATGTGTTTGGATCTTGATATAATTGGTGTCACGTGTAATTGTAGCACGTGTAGAAAAACCAGGAAAATTATTGACCTCGTATCTTTTGGAAAAATATCTAAACAATGGGGAAAATTTGAGCAAGAACAATGGCAGTCATGCATTGTTGTGCACCTCTTCCTCCTCTTCATTGTACCACTCTCTACTCCATTCGTCGTCCTCCCACATCTCGAATGTCCTGCTCTTTCTCATCCCACATGGACCAACAAAACGAAATTGGCAAAAAAAAATTCACAGACTTCCCTTACGTCTCAGTCCCACAGAGGAATCTTATGGTGGAGCTTGTATCCATGCTTGAAACTCGTCTTAACCCCTATCTCCAACCTTGTAACCTCCCACCTGATGTCCAATACTACCACAACCAGACTGGGACTGCCCAGGCTTCTCTCCACATCAGATCTGGACTCGAATCATCTCCGGTAATACACTCTCTCCTCTCTCTCTCTCTCTCTCTCTCTCTCTCTCTATATATATATATATATATATATATTCTCCTTGCAAGATTCCATTATTCTATTTTTATTATACTTAATTGTTATCTTATTGTTTGTTTATTGCTTCCACTATTTATTATTTATTTATTATTTTTTATATATGGTCTGTTATGGTACATTTAGTTGATTTGAAATGAAGGTTTTTGAGTTTTAAATGAAAGATTGAGTATTAAAGTTGTTGAAAGTTGCAAGAAATGTTAAGAGGTGAGGTATTTTGTAGGGTTTTTTTGCAACTAAATAACTCCTTTCATCTTGTCATTTAAAGTGAGAAAAGAAAGATTGATTTGTATAGAGGGTACGAGACAAAGAGGGCGCCCAAAATTTAAATGGGATGAAATCATTAGAAGTAACTTTAAAAAGTTAAATACTATGTATAAGAAGAGATGGCTTATAATAGAAAGGACGAAAAAAGAGAATTCACGTGACTCATCCATTCATCTAGAATTAAGGCAAGGACTTTGCTAATGATAATCTTGTCATTTGAAGTCCCCACATGTAAATATGTCAAATCTATCTATGATTTTTGTTTTTACTTTTTTTGAAACCTAAATCTAAACTATTAAATCTAAATTAAACGATTACTTATAAAAAAATTATACCTAAAGCCATCCATTTTAAATATATCAATCTAAATGAAACCTTATAATTTATACTTGGATCAAACTGTTAATAAGTTTTTATATTTGTGTGACTTGAAATCCAACAAAATTTTAACATTTGGCTGCCATTATTTTGATGAGTTCTTTTGCTACTCCTGATCATCTGTGAGAGGATAAAACATCAGTCAACTTTGGCCTAGGTCGTTTCCGTCCAAATTTCAATAGTTGCTGAAAGATGTTAGCAAATTTTGAGATCTGAACTAAAAGGGCTGTGGTAGGCCGGTCTAATCCCTTCTGAGCACGAGGTATTGGAGTGAATACTGATTGGGAAGAGAGAACCAATATTTGGGGCATCCTTTTCTAGGATATGCGCGCTCTCTTAATTGTTCTGTGCATTATGGCTTTACTTGCCCACCTAAAATTGCAATGTGGAGACTTCGAAATTCAATTCATTATATCAACTCCAAAGGCAACACATTTGCGCATGTATTTCCATGCCAACACATTTGGACTTAAGGTTTTGAGTATGTGGGTACCCACATGCTGATGGGATAATTAAGATTTACATGTACAAGGTAAGGAGAGAGCTCCGCTATAGCTGTCATAGTGTCTTTGTGACTGCCTTTTGTGCTTCTTAATTTATCCCACAAAACGCTGCTAGAATGGAAAAACAGTACTTGGGTGGCTTCCCAGTACTACCTGGATGTGTGTGTAGGTTTGCTTAGTTTTAAATTTAACATGAAAAATAACAATTTTGTCGTAATATTTGGTTCTTCCACTTTGCTTTTAGTGGGAAAGTCCATTGCAATACAATGACTATCATTGAAGTGACCAAACAAATTTTTGCATTTCAATTTAAGATATAATAACATTGGCAAATTGCAGAATAGTTGTTGAAACCACATTCTTACGTCTCCACCTCCCCCTTCCCATTCTACGGGGTATTGATCTAGTAATTCACTGCTCATTTTTTGCTCAAGTTTTTTAAGGATATTTTGGATAGTCAACTATAAAAGATATGGTGAAAACAGGACAAGGAAAGGAGAAGAGGTTACAAATCTTCATATATTGTCAACTTGAGTTAAGTTTTGGAAAATGGATAAGAAAATTTATGATTACACGAGCATGAGTTACCGTCCACTCATTAATCTCTGCTTTGAGACATAAGTAATTTTGGTTAATTGAGTAAAGCAGTAATGGCAACTGGTTCGTGCTTATGTAAGTGCAAACTTTCTTAATCATTGCGCTGAATTGTATCTCAAGTTAAGGTAAAAGGAAATTGAAGTATTGAAGACTTATAAAGTTTTGAGGAAACTTGGTGGTTATTTTCTAAAATTTAAGGATTAACTTTTGGTTCACACATTATTATTTTGTTCAACTAGGCTGCTTCATGAAGATCATTATACCGACTATTTAATATGGTGTTGAATGTGGGCATTAAAAAAGAAACACAAACACCGCATCTATGTAGCAGAAATGCGGATGCTATGATGGATTTTAGGAATAATTAGGAAAGATAGATTAATAATCATAGGATAGGGAGAAATTTGGTGTGACTTCTGTTAACGAGAAAATAAGGGAGAGTAGACTTAGGTGGTATGGGTATATTCATTGCCAGCCTATAGATGCACCTGTGAGGAGAGGTAGATTGATTTGCATAGAAGGCGAGAGACAGAGGTGTTGACCAAAACTAACATGGATGAAGTGATATGGTTTATGATAGAAAAGAGTGGAACAAGAGAATCCATGTGGCCGACCCCATTTGTATGGGATGAAGGCAAAGATGATCGTAATGATCATCATACACGAAGATGTCCTTTGATTAATGTACCAAGTTTAACTCTCAATCTTTATAAATTTGAGTAGATGTGTTGCTGTTGGGTATATTGTGTTTAATTTTTACAATTATGACTTTTCTGAATAACATTTTAAAAACTTGCCTTTTTGATAGCCTTGACCTAATAGTTATTGGATCCTTCAGCCTTGGATTTTTTTCGCATGCTATCAAAGGCTGAATCCGAATGCTGTTAGCTTGAGGAATGTGAACTTGTGCTTTCCAGGACAACACAGCAACTATGTTGTGCATAGATTGTCTTAGGGAACTGTTCTGTGATCCTTTATGCTAAACACTTGGACACGAGCGTATAGGTCTGATTCAGTGCAATGTTAAATCTTATGGCTGCTAAACTTTTGCAAGCTTTTGATGTGAATTGAATTGGGTATTGAATCAGTGAATTCATTTGTTTTCCACTGACCACCAAAAAAAAAAGGAAAAAAAGATTGATGTATTGATTTGCCAACTTTGGTAATGATTACCCCCTCGTTAGTCTCTTTGTTGCAATTGATCTGGTTTTGTTGCAGTCATTGTCATTGAGGGCTCTGAATATGTTAGTATGGGGTTCATTCCACAAAGAATGTTTTATTGTAGTGGAAGTTGAAAAGGTAAAGTGAAAAATACGCTTCTTTTTAGGGCTGCATTTGTTGTGCGTGTTATTCTTTTCTCACGAGTGGGGGAATTAGGCATGCATTTGTTAGTCCTAACTTGTTTCTTAGGCCAGCATTGTCATGAATTAGATCCCATGGTGAAGGTGGGGTATAATTTGCTTCAATGAGACCTTTTATCCTTGTTCTTATTATGGACTTACTGTGAAATAGAATTATCTTCACACATTAGATGAGAATTTTCAAATTTTCGTCATCGTATCAAACCTTATTACTTGGCTAACTTTATGGACAAATGCTGGAACTGACCGTGTTATGGGAAAAACTTTGGCGTCCAGATCCAAAATCTGGGCTGTCGATCACATTCTGAGACTTAACCTTACAATATGCTAACTATAAGTGGTGCAATAACTATAGATGAGAAATTAGGTGCTCTATCCCTGCCAAGTTATGTGAATGCCAATGCTGCACCTTTTGAATGTAAACTTTGTTTTTGTTTTCCAAGTCAACAATAGCCAAAATAATAGTTTTGAAAAGCAACATCAGGTGATACCTTGGAAACAATACTACAGAGAAATATAAGCCGAGGATTAGTGTTATTGTCCGAGATTGAAGGTGGCCACTAGTAGTTGCACTGTTAGCTTCTGCTTGAAAGATATGAGCAAGATCTGAGGTCCAAATCTCTGAACATTTCATTATGTACCAGATTGATCTCATACTGGGAAGTTGGCTGCATTGTGAGCTACCATCAGGAGGAGCCTTGAACATAACAAGTCTCTCAGCATACCTGAACACTTCAACGGATGCACCAAACTACTTGCTTGAGCTTATCCAGAACAGCCCAACATCTTTAATCCTCATCCTTGATTTGCCACCTCGGAAAGACCTTATCCTCCATCCCGAGTATCTAACGACTTTTTATGACGACACACAGCTGGACAAACACAGGCAACTACTTGAGAAAATTCCTGGGGTTCGACCTTATGTCTCATCATCACTTTATATACGGTCTGTCGTCTCTCCAACAGCAATTCTGATCTGCATTGACACAGAGGCCGGTGGAAAAGAAAACATGGAGGAGATGGTTCGAGATCATGTGAGCCCCATTGCTAAGGAAGTGCTTGGGGTTTGGCTGGACCAGTGTGCTTGTGGAGATAGAGAGGTGGAAGAGACTGAAAGATCAATTTTAGCAAAGAGGGATCAGATGATTAAGAACAAGACCATTGAGATTGATCTGGGCTCAAGCTTGCCAAGATTGTTTGGGAGCGACGTAGCGGCCCGAGTTTTGGGAGCTATACGGGAGGTTTATAATGCATGAGATCTCTGAGCTACCTTTAGGTGTGTACAATAATATTGTTGGGGGTGACATTATTCTATCCTTTTAGTGAATATTAATGTAAGTGCACTAAATTGTCTTTTGCCTGGTGGATGTGTAATTAAATAGCAAATACAAGGTACCTATGCACATTTGAATTCATTTTTATAAAAATTTCCCCCCACTGAACAGGAAGGAGAGGAGTGGGAGGTAAAACACACCAATGGAAGGAAAACGAAATACCATTAGAAACACCCCAGTGGAAGGAAAACGAAAATACCATTGCACCAAATTTGTTAAGAAGGTTTAGAACGTACAAAGGAGTTACATACTCTATATGCATACCATAATGATAATTTTTTTTGCACGCAACATATATTATATATACAAGAAGAAGGACATTTTAGTTATTTCACTTTTAATAAGTTTTTGTACTTATATTTTAATTCAGTTATAGAGGGGCACTTTAGACTTTTCAGCATTCAGGTCATTGTTTACTTCAAAATTGAATGTTATGGACTTTTTAAAACGTATAAGGGGTTATACACTCTATATGCATATCATAAAAGTGTTTTTTGCTCGCGACCCTAAAAAATAATTGCTCCCGACGACTGAGATATTGCGATACCTAAAATACCCAATTATTTATAGAACCTAGACCTCCCTTTTGAAGATGTGGGTTTGTACTGGCTGGACTATTGCCCATTTAGTCTTTTTACTAATTTTTTAGTGGACATATATTATAAGGCGAATTGCAAATTACCCCCCTCGACTTTTATCTCATAGCAAAAAACCCCCTTATCAATTGTTTTAACAAGAAACCCCCCTCGACTATCACGAGGGGGTATTCTAACTGACATCCGTCCAAGTAATTTTTAGGCAATTTTTTTGACCAAATTACCCCTCAATGTTCACTGTTGAAGAAATAGTCGAAGCCCGTTTCCATCGGCCTCTCTCTCTATAACCAGCCCTTCTCTACCGGCCGCTCTCTTTACGAACAAGCCGGTCTCCACCGGCCATTCTCTCCACAACCAAGCCCGTCCTCACCACCATCCGATCTCACCGTTCCGAGCGAAGCCGCAAGCTCACCACCGTAGTCAGCAGACTTTTCCTTGCCTGCCAGTGCAGCACCGCAAGCACTGCCGACTCAGTTCCAAGCTTGCCGACTGTTCTTCTCACTGCCGAGCTCATTTTTGTTTGCTGCAGACCGCCTAATCATTTCAGTGGAGCCTTCCACAGCCGCGCTCGTCACCGCCGCTGCAGCCGAGCTCTCCGCCATCCGGTCCGCAACTCACTGCCCTTACATTGCCAGAGTTCTTCCCTGCTCTTGCCTCGCTGTGCCTCGCGTTGGTGATTGACGCACCGCTTGATCCGGAACCATTGTACTTGAAGAAGTTGTTGCCTAGAACGACATCACTTGCTGCGACATCAAACCTTAAGATCTCACCGTGAAGGTCGATGCCTGGTCTTGTGGGGTTCTCTCCCTTCTTAATCTTGAGGGTCAGTGGACTGACCTCTCTGGGCCCTCACCCTTTCTCTCGGCTATACCCCTGCTTCTCTCGGTCTCTCTGACTAGTGACGGAGTCAGGATTTCGAGTCAGGAGGGGCACCGTACAATATATATATATAAACATTACAAATATAAAATACAAAAGAAGAAGAAGAAAAAAAAAAATATATTCAAATATACATGTTAAAAAGATGAATTTTAAAAAGTAAAAATTGAAATAGAAAAGAAAAATGAGAGGACTTTAAAAGGAAAAAGTTAAAAGTTTTAATTAAGGAAGGAAAATTTAACTTTTTCTTTTAAGGAAATTTAAGGGATTTGAAGAGTAAAAGAGAAAATAAAGGGATAATTTTAGAAATCACAAACTTAGGGGGTAAACTGTATATATATATATATATTTTTATATATATAGAAAAAATATTAAAAATTACTATATATTATAGAGGGCAGGGCCAAGCTAGGAGGGGCACCTCCTGGCCCTTCACTAGCTCCATCCCTGTCTCTGACCCCAAATCAACTCTCCGTGACAGCTACCTTATTGGAGGAACGGAAGAAGAAATAGCTGAAGCTCCACCCATTTTCCGGCGATCTCGTTTCTTACAGTCGCCGCGGGGTAATTTCTTTTCTTTCACTTCAATTGTGAGATTTCTTCGCCACCGGGACCGGGTTTGGAGGACTGAAAAACAGTGAACATTGGTAGAGCATTGAGGGGTAATTTGGTTAAAAAAATTACCTAAAATATTACTTTGACGAATGTCAATTAGAATACCCACTCATGATAGTTGAGGGGGGTTTCTTGCTAAAACAATTGATAAGGGGAGGTTTTTTTGCTAAGAGGTGAAAGTTGAGATAGGTTATTTGCAGTTTGCCCTATATTATACAACTGGTGTGAATAGTGAGTATGCACCGGAATATATTATATCTCGAATTAATGTTTTTAAAACATCATATGAGATCCATGATTCTCGAAGACTATTTTAAAAAAATTATAATTTAATTTTTAGCAAGTAGCAAGAAAAAAGATCACATGAATGAAAGAAAATTATCACTTAAATAATTAACTTATTATTAAAGAACTATTTTTAATATGATATGCCCGATTTTAAAATTACTAGTATTTCAAACAAAAATAAAATAACTTGCTGAACTTGAAAATGACTTATAAATTGTATTTCAGTAAGTTATTTCTTGAACATATGATTAGAATTCATATGTTCAATAATAAACATTATTTTATATAGATATATTGATGTGATACACACAGAGAGAGCCACGTGCGCTTTTATGACGCGCACTCTTTTGCCTACTTTTTACTTTAAAGTTATCAATCTTATATAAATAAATATATACAAATAAATAAAATTAGAGCTCTAATCTCATCAAGTCACCAGCTTTATACAATGTCTCATCTATTTTCTACCAGTAAGTGTAAGCTCATGTATCAACTTTCTCTGCAATCATTACACAAAGGTTTAATTTATGAACTATAGCAATATATGTGGTTGCTATTGGTTCTCGCATCGAATGGCAAAAGCGTCTTTTAAGAGTTCTAACATTTTATCGTTTAAATAAATAAAATATTAAAGGGTAATATCGACTTTTTACAAACGTCACTGTAATTTACCATAATACGGAGTACTATACTAACACTAATTACAAAATTAGGCGGGAATGCAAATGCAATTCTCCTTTTCTCCATCCGTCTTCCTTTTCCCTCCATAAATTTTCCCTAAATCCAAACGCACGCTCATTTTATTCATTGTTCTTCTCATTTCAGGAGGGCTTTTCTTTTCTTGTTTCTTCGTCTTCCTCCTCTGCTTCAATGTTTAGCCCTTCCTCGTCTCTATCATCTACAGCATCATCTATGGTGAACCCTCAAATCGGAAGGTGCAAGAGATTTATGGAGTTCCCCTATTTCTCGGCCCCACAAAAGGATCTCCACTCCGATCTCGACCCTTGTGAACTCAAACCTGAACTCGAGAACTTCCAGTCCCCAGATGGTGCTGAAGGTGTTCTCCATCTCAGATGTGGCAACGACTCATCTCCAGTATACTATTACCACTCTCTCTCTCTCTATATTTATATTTATACACACACATTACACATACATGGTTTTATTTGTTATTATACTTTTAATTGTCCTCTTATTGTGTGGTTTGTAAGCCAATATCATTTAGCATTTTGCTTCTGTTACTCTAATGGGTTTTCTTTCATGCAATTTAGGACAATCTCAATATGTGGTAGGGTGAAAAAACTGCTACACTAGGCCTAGGTTGTTTTGTTTCCATTTGTTTGTAATAAACAACGTTCTAGTTTTGTCCTTAAATAGAGCGGAATGGAAACATGAGATTCATGTAGTCGACCTCAAGTAATTGGCCTCTTGAAATTTCATAATCTTTTACACTAGACCTGGGTTGATTCATGAAAAAGTGGTATGAATACGCTACAATTGTTCACTCTCAACGCTTCTTAATTTGTGTAGTTGTGTAACTTGTGTTGCAGGTGGGTATAGTATACTTGAACCAACAGATAACGAATTTGGCCTTCTAGCGAATGTTAGCTCTAGCCATGAGCTGCTACTTTCCTGACCAAAATGCGTTCTATTAATATGTTTGGCTAATTTTTTGGCATAGACTAACTTTAGGAGGTCATGTGATCCTTTATGCTCAAAATATACATGGAAACATGCACATTTAAGACTGATTTTGACTTTTGAGCAACTCTAAATCTAGTGGCTATAAACTCTAACTTTCCTAAGCTTATGATTCCTGAAACCAAAGCCATTCTATATATTAGTGAAACAGATTGTAATGAACATTTTTTTTTTTTTTTGGGGGTTCCCTTGGAATAGTGGAATTGTTTCATCTTCTGCTGACTATAGATACATAGTTTTCTGTTCTATTTGCCTGGCACTGTTTGTTACTAATGTCCTTGTTATTCTCTAGTTGATGACCCTTCTAGGTTTGTTGAACTCATTTGCCCTTTGGGGCCACGCATATATTATAATGAAGCTGACCCAACAGGAATGTAGGAGTATATTCCAATTTTAAGTTGGTAAACTGAGAATTATGCTTTCACTTTAGAGCTGCAGTTGTTGTCATTGTTGCGTTGTTGTTTGTTTGGTGAATATGCTTGTATTTGTTAATCCAGATGCCAGCTGGTATGTTTGAGTCTTAGCACCAGGATTTCCTTGAAATAAATCCACGGGTGAAGGCAGGGTATGATTTGCTTCAGGAAACCCCCCCTTACACAAACACAAACGGATATTCAAATCTGTTAGTCATGTGTATGCAGATGGAGTAGATTAACCTTATTGCTCAGCTCACCTGCTCGACATATGCTTGAATTGTCTTTTTGTTCATAAAATTTTATTTATTTATTTTCTTGCTGAACCAAATTCTGGTTACTAAACACATTTTAGCACCATGCGTTACAGTTTACTTATATGAGAACTGAGGGTAATTGTTAGGCGAGAGGTTAGGTGTTTGAACGCCGGTGTTTATACATTTAATTTTTCGAAGTGCAAGTAATAACCAGTTGCCAAAAGTACATCTTGTAATGCTGGGGAACTATATATATATATATTACAGAGTCTATAAGCTAAGGATTAGTAGTATAATATTATAATAATCAGATTTTGAATGTGGCCACTAATTGTCTTGTGTTCTCATTCTGCTTGAGTGTTTATTGATGTCCAAATTTCTGAGCATTTGGATTTGTACCAGATTTATTGCATGCTGGGAAGTTGGTTCAGCTCGGCGCCAACATCAGAAATGTGGAAATTCACAAGCCTCTCAGCTTTTATGAACACTTCAACGGATTCACCACACTGGATAATTGACCTCATGCAGGACAGCCCAACATGTTTAAGCGTCCTCATTGATTTGACCCCTCGAAAAGACCCTGTGGTCAATCCTGGGTATGCCGACTTCTTTTATGATCACAAAGGCACCACTTTGGATATACAGAGGCAACTGTTTGAGGGAATCCCCGAGGCAAATCCAACTGATCTCTGTTGTTCTGTTACGGTGCGTTCCGTTCTGTCTCCGGCAGCAATCTGTTTCACGATTGAAACTGGGGATGGTGGTGCAGGACGTCTGGAGGAGATAATTCGAGATAATGTGAGGCCCATTGCGAAGAGATTTGGTTGGATAGGTGTGCTTTCACAGAGAGGGAGGTGGATGAAACTGAGAGGGCTGATTTAGAAGAGGGGGATGAAATGATTAACAGCGTGGTCCGTGCGCTTGATCATGGGCAACAGTTAGTCCAGCTTTTGAGTTAAACCCAGTTGAGCAAGTAATGGTTATCCCCTAGAATTTGACTATGTACGATAATGTTGTTCGATGAAAGGTACTTATCTTTTGTTTGGAGGATGTTAAACGAATTCATCATTATTATTGTTTCTTATTTGATGCTAAATTAAGTGATATATATATTATTTGTGAAGGGACGATTTTCTGAAAAAATGTCCTCTCCAAAGAGAAATGAATTGTGTGAAGTTTATACATATATACACACATTAGTTAATCTATTCTTGTAAAACAAATTTTATAAACTCTTGTATTGCAAAGATTATGTTACTACTATTTTTTAACACACTGTTCTAAAAACGAAACTTATCTGTGAAATTTTAACTACAGTTTACAAATTAGAGAATATTTTGAATGTTATTGTTCGGTCTCTTTTAGGTAGCCTCTAAATTTATTAATGGTGCAATTGAAAGCGTAGGAGTTTACTTATTCGCAAGCGAGCAAATTAATTGTCGCTTTCAATTAAATATCTCTTAAATTTGTTACATTGTTTTATACTCCCCCTATATTAAAAATAATCTCTTTTTAAGAGAGTATAAATTTTTAAGGGAACATGTGGGTCATGTATTGTTTTCTATAAAGTTATTAACTTGCCTCTATAAAGTTATTAACTTACCTTTTAAATTTTGAATATTCATGTTTAAAATTTAAAATTTTAAAGACATATATAGAAAGATGTAAAATATGTTATTTGAAAAAAGGATAGTAGATAATTATTTTGGAACAACTTAAAAAGAAAAAATTAAAAAAAAGACTACCTCTGTCCGTCCCATTATAGATGTCCACGTTCAAAATTTACACATTTTAAGGGCACTAGCTTTTATTACCTTGGCGGAGGATATATTTCAAAATTTATTCCTTTTAAATGTTATTCTTTGATGGGGTTCGCCATTTTAAGACTTTAATGTGTTTTATCTTTTAAGGGTAAATTGAGAATGTTAAAAAAAATAGTGCATGAATTTTTGAAATGGAACAATTATTATGAAACAGCAAAAAAATGATAGATTTCTAATATGGTGGAGGGAGTAATTATTTATTAGAGACAGACTTGGAATGAACCTATGAGCACATTGGGTTCAAACCGCTGGCCGATGTAAAGGACCTAAGACGCGTAGCATGCACCGGGTGACACCTGGTTTTTGGTGCTCTTTGGTGATCAATACAAACCAAAACGGCTTCCTGACGCATCCACCTGCTTCCTTTGGATGTTTCTTAAGCACATAGTATAAGCAAGGCCCAAAACCACCAACCTCTCTAAGCCTGTACGTGTCGATCACGAGCTCATATATGTGTACATATATACATACAGCCAATTAATACACGGACTTGTAATGCATAAGCAAATGGTGCCAATTGTGGGTGGTCTCACAATATATACGTGTCAGTTGACCATGTGTGCGTACCTCAAAAATGGCCGTTGAGTCTCTAATCTCTATATAAAGCATTCATACTCATCTCGCTTTCCGTATTCAAAATTAGTTAGGGCACGTATCCTCCACTTTAACCTTAGAGAGAGAGAGAGAGAGAGAGAAATGGAGGGTGGTCTTCCGTACATGAGTATCTTTCTTGTGCTTGCAATTGCCCTTATCTCATTCTTTTTGTTCAAAGAGAGAATGAAAAGTAGTCCACAAACACCAAAACTTCCACCAGGTTCTATGGGTTGGCCTTACTTGGGAGAAACTCTGCAACTCTTTTCCCAGAACCCCCATGCTTTCTTTCACACCAGGCATAAAAAGTAAGCACGTCGTACACACAACTACACTATATATATATATATATATATATATATATATATATATATATATCGGGTTGAGATTCAGTGCTGTACTGCATGTATGCTGTACAACAATCAATGGTTGTGATTAAAACACACTGATATGTGTTTCAAACAAGTATTCTTCTTCATTCTCTTCATCATTTTTATTTATTTATTTTAATTTTAATTTCCAGATTTGGAGAGATATTCAAGACTCACATACTTGGGTGCCCGAGTATTATGTTGGCATGTCCTGAGGCTGCCCGGTTTGTGTTGGTGACAGACGCTCATTTGTTCAAGCCAAGCTATCCCAAAAGCAAGGAAGAATTGATCGGCCGGTGGGCGGTTTTTTTCCACCAAGGTGGGTATCATACTCGAATGAGAAAGCTAGTTCAAAGCTCTCTCTCCTTGGACGTTATCCGTAACTTGCTACCTGCTATTGAGGCCATTGCTATCTCCATCTTGGACTCATGGTGTGTCCACGACCGAGTTATCAACACCTTCCATGAAATCAAGAAGGTCCACTTTAATGTCATTGATTCAATATATATACATATATATTTATTTATTTATTTATTCACTTCTCTCTCTAAGTTCTAACATGCCTCATGCAGGTCTCATGTCAATGTCTTCCCCTACCACCTCTTTTGTTTTCTTTCTTTTTCTTTTTGTTTTTCCTCACTAAAGGGAAGGAGTGAGTATTAGGTTCTGACGTAATAAGAATTGTTTTTAGAAAATTGAACCAAACCGACAGTGAGATTGCGAATTAGACATTATTATTATTTGAGTGTAAGTGCGGTTGGAAGGACTAAAGTGGTGCCTGATGCCTCCTAAACACTCCTGCTCTCTATTTGAGGATGAGGAGAGTTTATATATACAATCTGGGGTAATAATTCTACTTTTGGGTTCTCATAGATTTTCACTTTTCAATCATTGCAGTTCACATTTGACGTTGCTGTGTTGTCCATATTTGGTGAATTGGACTGTAAATATGGAGAACAGTTAAAGAAGAACTACTTCACCCTGGACAAAGGTTACAATTGTTTTCCAATAAACCTTCCCGGGACTTTATATCGTAGAGCATTCATGGTAATTAAAGAGTTACATAACTATTTTCTTTCCTTCTCTCTGTGCAAATTTCAAAACAATTCATGATCTTGTTTTATTCTTCGAAACTTAAATTAAAGAAATATTTCACATTTTTCTTCTGTGTTGATCAACTTTTAAAGGCGAGAAGGCGGCTCAGTCAGATACTCAGTGATATAATTAGTGACAGAAGGGAGAAGAGAATTCTGAATAAGAATCTTTTAAGTTCTCTATTGAACTTCAAAGATGAAAATGGAGAAACCTTGAACAACGATCAAATTGCTGATAACATTATTGGTGTGCTATTTGCGGCTCAGGACACTACAGCTAGTGTTCTAACTTGGGTTCTCAAGTACATTCATGATGATCCAAAACTTCTAGAGGCTATCAAAGTAAGAATGAATTAATTGACAGTGAGCCCATTTGCTCCATTTCTTGTACAAAAGTAGAATTTCAATTAATTAGTCTAGCTAATATATTGAAAATTGATTTCTAATGATATTTGCTATTTCAGATGGAACAGAAGGCAGTATATGAATCAAATGATGGAGGAAGCCGACCGTTAACATGGGCTCAAACTAGAAATATGCCACTCACTCAAAGGGTATTGCCCCATAATCTCAAGAATATATAAGTTTAGCAAAATAAATATCATTATGTATATTGCTAATTAATTGGGTTTTAGAAGAAGTAATTATATATAACGAGTGGATTTTCAGGTTGTAATGGAGAGCTTGAGGATGTCAAGCATCATTTCTTTCACATATAGGGAGGCTGTTGAAGATGTTGAATACAATGGTAAGGTAGACAAAACTATTTCTGCAATGAAATCTTACTACAAATGCATTTCTTTAATTTCTCACTTTCTGAATGTCTATTAAAGAGTAAGACAAATTAAATTCCATAATATATTGTTTGTCTATATATAGAAGTTCAAATGCTGCACTAATTATAATGGTTTCATTTTCCATGTAAAACATAACATTACAATTAACACAAGGTTTTTGGTACATGTAACATGTATATGTATATATATTATATACCATCCCTCTTAATTTTCTATAGGGCAGGCCTGAAGTGGTCTAGGTCTACCCTAATGTGCATGTAAGAAATGCATAACGGAGGCATAAATTTATGTTGGCGCGCACAAGATGATGTTGCACCCCATAGCCAGACAATCATGTAACTCTGGTACTATTGAATTCAAGTACAGTAGATGTTGCCCTAAATCAAAATATCCAACACCACTAGCTGTACTACCTAAGACCCACATTCTCTCATGTCTTGACCGTGAAAGCAATCTCAAAGACCCATTCCATAGAACTGGGAATTGGACCCCACTCTCAGCTCAACACCCCACCACAAAGGCTTGATTACCACTCCTTTTCCATACAGTTCAAAAAGCACAATTAATTTGACAAGAAAATGTCATGAATGTTCACTAGTCAACTGTCAATGTGTACTAAAGGGGCTAGTCGTGTTAGACCCCTACTTCAGAAGAAGGTCAGGATTCGAGCCTCCCTGTAGGAGTTAGGTGTGTGGGTGAATTGTTCGAACAAGTGTCATACATGTTCTCTACTCACTATTTCCAAACTTGAAGTTCACCTCACAAAATTACACCATGTTAAAGAACCTAAAAAATTACAATATGTTGGGATTATTATTCTAGGGAAAAAGTCATCCAAATCATGTTTTAAAATGGTCTGACAAGCCTTGGAAATTTTGGCAGGGATCTTAATTCCGAAAGGTTGGAAAGTTTTGCCTTTATTTCGAATCATTCATCACAATCCGGATTTCTTCACTGATCCAGAGAAATTTGATCCTTCAAGATTCGAGGTATAGCAAGCTACATGTTAGTATTAATAATCATATGATGAATTCATATATATATATATATATGGTGTATGTTGATCATTATTTTTGTGACTAAAAAAGGTCGGACAAAAACCCAATACATTCATACCATTTGGAAACGGATCACATGCTTGTCCTGGGAATGAAGTTGCCAAGCTCGAGATGCTTATTTTGATCCACCATCTTGTCAACAAATACAGGTACTTTCGAGGGAGGGGTTGTTGGATTAATTAATTCGAGAAAGAAGTATTACGTAGACTTATAGCTAAATAAGGTATATCACAAGAGACCTGTCATGTGAAAGACTCAGACATTGACACTAGTCATTGCTGTCCTTAATACCTATCGTCTTCTCCAAAAAAAATACATGTCAGTCAAGATCAAAAAGTTATTGATTGAAACCTTTGAACCATGTTACACATGAACTCGGAAGTTGTTTTGTAAAGCAAAATGCACAAAAATGGAAAACTTTGATTACAAAAATAACGTAAGCTAACATAAGCGGGTGATGTGTATTGGTAGAATTAAACTTGATCACACAAACACACACAGAGAGATCGACTTATTGTTATTTACTTGACAAGAATGGGTTTAACTCTTTCGTTAAGCAATATATATATATATAATGTTTTATACATCAAAATGTCAATATTGCTAACAAAAGTTCACTATTCTCTTATTGTTGGTTGCAGGTGGGAAGTGGTTGGGGACAATGGTGGGGTGCAGTATGACCCATTCCCTGTGCCAAAGAAAGGGCTTAGTGCCAAGTTTTGGAAAGTGTCCGGTGACCAAGGACATGGTGTTACACCTGCTTACTGCTAATATGAATGCATATGTGGGAGCAGGTTGATAATTATGTGGATGTTTCTAAATGGTTTTGATATTGATGTCATTTTAATTTAAAAACAATATTGAACTGTGTGTTTCATTTTATTCCCCGGACTCTCAATTTTTGGTGTCTTATTTGGCAAGCGAAGCATAGCCTAGTACGTGTCTTCGTTTAAGAGGTGCAAGACTGCAAATGCATATGCTACTTCATGTCAGTCGACATCCGCCACAATGACTCTGCCACTGGTTGCTTCGTTTAAGAGAAGCACATGCTTGTTTATTTGGCAAGCCAAGCATAGCATTGTGTCTTCGTTTGCTTTGGCTCTTCAATAATTCATATATTTCTTTTTTGAGGTCTAGTCTTACAGTAACAAGTAAGATATGCTGTTAATATATAACCTTACATTCTATTAATTAAGCTAATGGACTAAAAATTGATTAGTACACAAAATCTTCAATCAAAATAGGACTAGTACAAGCTTTATATATGTAGTTGTTGTGGGCATCATCATCTCTGTGATTAAGCTTGCTCTTTCATGTTGGTCACGGACTGTCGTGATCCATAAACTAGTGTGTTTCAATGACTCCACTGGTACGTGTTCCCAATCTGCAGGATTGGATTAATTAGAGTTAAGTGCATGTGTTACACCAATCAAGTTTAATGAAATTTGTGATGCACGTACGTACGTACTCATGATCATATATATTATAATGGAATGATATGTGAAGTTGTCATTACACATTCCCAGCTACACTGTTTTACGTACCACCTGTTAACTACAGTGGATCAGTTGGGCAACTAGATAGCAGCATGAAAAAGAATGATCCACCATGAAGAACACCAAACGATGGTGACGAATCAATGGATCACAACCATGCCATGGTCACTTTATCACGTGCAATTGCCGCTTGTTAACACGGTATTGATGGCTTCACTTCATGTGGCTCTTAATTAAAGTGCGAGAATATATATACACACACACACATATATATAGTTTACACAAAATCACATGGACACACTAAAAGTACTGTTCTCCGTTTTTTTCAAGCCCCTCATTTTATTGGGGTAAAATAATGACATATGAGATGCTTGGCAGCTAAGGCCTTGTAACTGTTTTTGTTTATTATTTAAGTTTAAACATAATGAGTGTTTATGTATAGCTTTTATTTATCAATAAGTAAATATATTGTTTGATAGCGTAAAAATGTTTATCTTATTTTTAAAATAATAAATAAAAAATATGTTTGTTAATCTTAAATTGTATTTAAAAATTTTAATCCCAATTTTAAATAAATAATAAAAGCATCCAAATTCAATAATTTTTTAGGCTTTTAAGAAACAAATTGCTGCTCTAATCAAATTTTTTATTTTTTATTTCTACACAAGGTACTCATTACTTAAGTAATATTTCAAGATACCCATTATGAAGACCCACCAAAAGAATATTATTTATTTTGCTTATTAGCTCTATGTGTTTTTCATATTAAAAAAAAAAAAATTACAATAATCATAAACACATAAACATAAACGTCGTTTTAACGTTTATAAAATTGGTCTGTGTGAATAATAATTATATAAGTGAATTTATATAATCGATAAATATAAACAATATTAACAAACTTGTTTTTCTTCAAAATCTGTTTATATAAACTATAAATTGTAAACATAAATAGTTACTAAACGAGACCTAATTCATTTGTTTCGTTTACCAACCTTGGTCTGATCTCAATTGAGTTATTCTATGTTTGGGAATAGTGACTTAGCGCACTAGAATTCAAAGGCAACATTACAAAACATTCAATTCTAGCCAAACTCTAAGTAATTGAGGTTATTTTTTTCACCATTCTATAGCATAAAGAAATAAAAATAAAAATGACAATTAGGCACTCTACCAATTAGGCTTTCAAATAATATCCTTCATCTCCTAATTAATTAAGGATTGAATTAGTGTAAGCTCATTAATTAGCACAATGGCTGCACATTGACATATATACAAAGTGACATCCAAGGACAAGGACAAGAAGATATCTGTGGGTTCGATTCATCAAAAATCCTTAGATGATGATTTTTAAGAGAATTTTGGTTGATTTTTCGCCCTTCAGCAACTGAATCTTGTCTTTTGTTCATCCATTACAAACCCAATATATTTTGGAAACTCATTTAATTATTTGCGATCTTTCAAGGGTAGGAATCTAAGACATATCAGTCTCAATGTTTTGTCAATGTCAGAAGAAAAATGTTTTGATGTTAAGGTAACCTACAGTTGGTGGTCCATGTTAACTTGCATAGCTGTCACTACTTAGATGTTAGTGGTCCTAAACTCATGAATGTTCAGCTTAGATGATGATTTTTAAGAGAATTTTCTTTGATTTTTCGCCCTTCAGCAACTGAATCTTGTCTTTTGTTCATCCATTACAAACCCAATATATTTTGGAAACTCATTTAATTATTTGCGATCTTTCAAGGGTAGGAATCTAAGACATATCAGTCTCAATGTTTTGTCAATGTCAGAAGAAAAATGTTTTGATGTTAAGGTAACCTACAGTTGGTGGTCCATGTTAACTTGCATAGCTGTCACTACTTAGATGTTTGTGGTCCTAAACTCATGAATGTTCAGCTTTTGTGCTTTCTCAGCCCAATAGTCAATCGAGTTTGGGCTGGATATTGGACGGTATCGATAATTTGAAGTGCATGTGCTGTTTCCAAGCTGGCCCAAATTCAAAGTCGGCCCATAGTTGACTAATATGGCTCAGACCCAGAACCAGTATGAGTGCTTTACATTCAAACGACCTTTAATGGGGCGATAAAGTCATACGGTAGTTTCCCATACTATTTTTCTCTCAGGCGAAATCGTATCGACCGCGTATATACTGACTACAAAGAGACTTTTTTTTTTTTTTTTCGTGGAACGAAGATCGTCCAACACCATGGTGAGTTTCTTCAAATCTTGTGATTTTGGTATCATGTGTTTATATATATATATATATATATATATATATATATATATATATATTTATTTATTTATATTGATGGACTGCTTTCTCAAGATAAGGATTTAAAGATTCATTTGCACGCGTTTGATGGCATATGTATGTGAGCATGTTGATTTTTGTATAAATTCTGGCTAATTATGGGTCGATAAACTTTGGGCATCATACTTCTTTTCAAATTTTATGTAAATTAACCTAATTGCAAATTATCAAATTTTATGTAAATTAACCTAATTGCAAAATTAGGTTGTTGGGTGATGAATTAAGGTTCTCTAAATGAAGAAGCTGTGTATTTTGATTAATCCAGTTTGATTTAGGTCGATCAATCGTGACCTAGTTTTTTAGGACCAAATTGGGAGATGAAGAATATAAGATCTACTGGTGCTATGGGATATAGTTGGGTGATGCTGGGCTCTTTCGTTGGAATAGCAATAAGTTGCAAGATGTTACCTTTAAATAGTTATGACTGTTGGCATTGATGTTATACTGGATATGTTCATGTATTTGTAGGTAGCTTATGTTTCATGAGAATTGGTGGCAAAATTAATTTGTTTATTGAACCATTTTTCATTTACTTTTAATAAGCTTGAAGAATATGTTCAGTCTCGAGTGTGAACTTAGATCAATGGTTACTACAATCTCTGAATTACTTTTGACTTATCAATCCCTTTTAAATAGAGTCCAGTCGACCGGGAAGGGACCTTTTCTGTTCATTTTTTAATCTCTTATGCCCATGCCCTTACATTTAAAGAAAAGTTCTTTTATTTTCCCCCGACTTTAAGCCCTTCCAGATGGAGTAGTGCAATTCTGTCTTGGAAGCCTTCTCTAAAGATAGGAGCTCCTATCTCTACTGCCTTGTACAACCTGTAGACTCTTATCCCCGGTGGAGTTTCTGAACTCCGTCTGTAACTCACTAGAGGTCTGGCGAACAGCTTATGAATGTGTATGAACTAATATCATGGTCCAAAATACCATAAGATTCAGCAGTTATTGATTGGGTTAAGATGCGTGTGTGCGTGTGTTTTTTTTTTTGGGGCAAGGAAATGTGTTATTAGAAACCAAGGGAATACTGCAACTGATTCCTTGCCAGTTGTACTAGTAAAGTACAATTAAGAAATGAACTATCAATGGTCCGATTTACTCGATAGTAAGTATTTGTAAAATGATGTTGCCATTGGAGTTACTTAGATCTTAAGCTCAACTGTTTTTTCACATACATCAAGTTTCAACCAGTACACTGGCTTTTATTTATTTATTTATTATCTTATATTATTAAGCAAAGAATGGTCAAACTGAGAAATTGCACAAGGGGGCTGCATGAGGTAATGGATTCCTCATCGTGTTTGGCAAATTTTTTTTATAAGATTTTATTAAAGACGCTCAAAAGGGCAGCGAAGCCCAAAGAAACAAAAGGGCCAAAGGGCGCCTTAGACCTTCAGAGAGGCCAAGAAAACAATAATTTCCTCCATAGATCTATAATCTCTCCCTAAAACCCAACAAAAAATAGTAGAAATAACAGAGAACTTAAGCATAGAAACAAGCTTCTTTTTTCCGTCAAAATATCTCAAGCCAAATACACCACCAGATACAAAGCGGCGTAGCCCTCCAAACGTCCTTAATGCCGGCCCCAACAGAGACGCCTCTCCAAGCCTCAATCAACCCTCTAGAGGAATAAGGCATGGCCCAATGGACCCCAAATAATCGAAGCATCAAATCCCAACAATCTTTGGCCATGCTGCAATGTAAAAGGAGGTGATCAATGGACTCCTCATTACACAAACACATGTAACAGTGATTGACCACCACCTGATTCCTCCTCCTTAGATTATCCTGGGTTAAAATCTTACCCAGGACAGAGGTCCAAGCAAAAAAGGCGACCTTGCGGGGAGCCTTGGACTGTGACAATCTTATCGTGTTTGGCAAATTTTACTGTGACAAAACCTTAGATGACTCCGTGAATGCTTTATTATGACATTTGTGCAAAGTGTCAAATGCAGCAGCAGTTGCAAAGCTATTTCTGATGCTTCCCCTATTCGTAGGCCAACATATTCGGTAGTATATTGTACTTTTTCAAGTTTATATTATTGTATACTGGTTTCCTGAAGCCTTTTATTGGATGACATACTCATCAGGCAAGCCTCTATAGAGGCCAATCGAGGAAAGATATTAAGCCTAGAGGACGTCATCATGGGTTAACTCAACAGAAGCGGCAAGAGATAAAAGAAGCATTTGATCTGTTTGACACGGATGGCTCAGGTATTGAAATATTCTCTCATTTAAATGTGCAATAAATGATTTGTGCTTTCTATTGCTTCATTTGTTTTGGGGATTTTTTATTTTTATTTTTATTTATTTGTTTGACTTATGTCACATAGGAACTATTGATGCCAAGGAGCTAAACATTGCAATGAGGTATGACTTATGAGTCTTTTGTCAAAAACACTATTAACTTTAGGTTGATAGGTTGTGCTAATGTTACAACTAATATAATTTGGTTGCAGGGCTCTGGGTTTTGAAATGACAGAAGAGGTAAAATTGAAACCCTAATACATCCTCTTCTTGGACTTCAGGTTCTATTTTTGTTTGTGCATGGTATGCTACAGAAGATTGAAAAGAGAGTTGTTTTGCCTCCATTTATTTATTTATTATTATTTTTTGGTTTTAGGGAAGCAATCTTTATTTATTGACGTGAAAAGAAAGATAGAATTCCCAAATAGTTTTGGACTTCCCTCTTTCTCTCTTGATATTCATAGTGCATCTAATTGGAGTCCTTTGTTCTTTTTTTGATTAATTTGATTTCAGTTGCACCAGATTTTCACATTATTCTCTGTTTGAGGAACTTTTTAGGCTTTTAGTCTCGATTTTTTCTTAGCATGCAGTAGCTCTAATGAATGCAACTATTTTGGTTTTACAAAATAAATCATTCTGATTTTTTTTTTTCCTTTTATTAATCTCTTAAAGTTCAATATAAAATAGTAGATATCTCTTGGATTAGATGTTCTTCCTTTTTTTTTCCTTCTCTGAAACACTTTAAATAAATGAACTGTTTTCACACACACACACACACACACACACATAAATTTTGGGTCCGTAGTTGAACTATGGCCTTACTGGAGTTGAGTTGATTCTATTTAACAAAATTTTGCAAGTCTAATTAACAAGGTACAGTTGTGGCTCGCCAATGAGAAATGATTTGACTATCAGGGCTTTAATAATTCACCAAATTTGGATTGATTTTGGAAGTGGTCTTCGTCAATTGGTTTACCTGAAGAATATAGATTCTGATAAGTGCTTTGAACAGTTAAAATTGTTTAGTCAAGTTTTAGAATCCGACATTAGTTAATTGCCTTAAACTAATGAGTAAGGGAAAAAAATGGATATTGTCAATATAAAATAATGCATTAACTGTTGGAAGGGTTTGCAGTGATCACTTGGTTGCATTTTGTATCCTTGTTAATTTGTGAGGAGCTGTGTTTGATCTCTATGTACATGGACTGATGACGTATGAAGTGAATATAAGATACGTGTTTGATAGGTCTGGTTGGATATGCAACTAGTAACCCTTTTTATGATTCTAGTACAGTAGTACTATATGTGTTATATTTGTTTTATTATTACTTCAAAATGAGTAAGATGTCGTATGTTGAATATCATTGTCTTATAAAAACATGAGAGAATAATGCTAAGGAAATATGCATATCACACCCTGGTCCAATGTCTTTGGCTATGGTGATTGGTCAAGTCCTATGCTTCGACAGATATTCACATTCGATGCACATATTCTGGGCATGTAACATGGTTCTGTTGGAAGTTATGAAACTGGGACTACTATAAACGTGCGATATAGGGTGTGACTTAGCTAAGTGATAAATTGGGGTCTTATATCAGATGTTTTTGGCTCAAAGTCCTTTGCCTTTGTATTTCTTTTCTGGAGACCAAGAGATGGTTAGCAAAGAGCTACTTTTCTTGTTTCTTGTTTTTTCCAATTTCCTACAATTCACGGCTTGTTCTCTGTTCTATTTGTTTCAGTATTTTGTTGCTCTTGTTTTCCCTTTTATGTTTTCTGGTCTCTTTTGAGTCATGTTCTTCCTACTGATGACAACACCTCTAAGATCTTTTGCTTGTCTTAATAAAGTTCCATTTACCACCAAAAAAGTAGATTCAGGGAAAAGAGATTGACAGTTTTTTTTTTTTTGAAGAAAGGGAGGGGGGGGGGGGGGGGGGGGGGGGGGGGGGGGGGGGGGTTTGGGGGTGGGGGGTTCATGAATCTTCACTTGCTATTCCAAATTCTAATAGGTCAAACACGACTTCATTTCTAACATCTCACTTCATTATTTCATTGCAGCAAATAAATCAAATGATTGCTGATGTAGACAAGGATGGCAGTGGTGCAATTGATTTTGATGAATTTGTGCACATGATGACAGCCAAGATTGGAGAAAGGGATACCAAAGAAGAGCTTATGAAAGCATTTCAAATTATTGACCAAGATAACAATGTGAATTTCTGCATATGTTCACCTTATTTGTTTCTTTGTGCTGATAACTGATTTTTATATTATTTGGATACAGGGAATGATATCTGCTGCAGACATTAAGCGTATTTCAAAGGAATTGGGTGAGCACTTTGAAGACTGGGAAATTAAAGAGATGATTGAGGCAGCAGACCGTGATCGTAAGTTTACTCTCTTCATATTTTAGTTGCAGTACTCTTCATATTGTTCTGATTTAGGTCCTGGTGCGCTATGTTACATGGACTCTTCAAAAGTATGTGAAATACTTGTGTTGGAGACACAACACTCAGACAATAGTATGAGATATGTGTCCGACATTTCATTGGATATTTACTATTAAAGCCTACCTAATAATTAAATTTTATTAAATTATTGCTTCAAATGAGTTAAATGCCTATTTTTAGAACGTTATTTTACCCCAGAAAATAAAATAAAATAATTAAACAATATGACTATTTATTCGTTATCTCTGTATCCTTCTATTTGAGGATTTGATACATCCGATGCTTGGATATGTACTGCACCCTGCACATGTACGCTAGTCCTGGTAACATAGCTGGCTTCAATTACATGACATAGCATGCTTGTATTTGTTTGTTTCTGAAATTTCATAAATCAATTATATGTGCCATTATAAATCTTTTCTTTTTTTTTTTTTTTTTCTTTCTGATTGTATGAATTATGAAGCTAAGTTTATGCTTATGCAAACTGATTACTTTCAGCAAGAGTTACCAACATATCAGAATAAGATGCTGTATTGAGTACTAAAATTGATTCACACACCTGTAAACAGTCTATAGAAACATTTTTTAAATTATTGAAAGACATAAAAATTGAAGAGAGAAATTAAACATGAAGAACACAAGGATAGACACACAAAGCTCAAAGGAGCTACATCACTTTTATTATATTCTCTCTTAATATTGTTTACAATCAGGACCTTTATTTATAGGTGAAAGAATACAAGTGATAAATATGGAAAATACATTGATGGAGGATTTTTAAAATCAATCCCATAATACACTCCAATCAATAATCTATCATAGGCTCAAATCACGCCTATAATATTCTCCAACATAAATTAAATAATTATTTAAGAGTACCCTTCTCAGGAGCAAATATATTTTCTTTTCAGGAACCACATATGGTACTTTCTATTCTTTTTTCCACCCAATATGTCTCACTATTGACTCTTTTTTTTTTTTTTTTCACGAGTTAAAAAATGAACTGGGCATTTGTCATGAAACAACTAACAACCAAAAGCACCGGACATATGTTACCTGGACTCGGTATTTATTGTGGGTGTGAGTGTGTATCCAAGCGTCAAATATATCAAATTTCCAAACAAAAGGACTTTTGGATCACTGCTAATTCTGATATTATGTAATATTTATATTTTAATAGAGTAAAATAATTTCTTTATGTCATGCAGTGCTTAGTATAGGCATTTCACTTGTTTTGAAGTAATAATTTAAAGAAATTGACTCAATTGTATATGTTTTTTTTGGGTGCATGTCCAACCAGAAGTGTCGGAACCGATGAGTATTGTGTTTCCGTGTTTTAAGAGATTAGAAGGGCTGAAAACTCCCCTTATTAATTAAGCTTTTGTAACATGTGCTTAATTTTGGGCTTGGTATGTTTAGGATGGAGTTGTTTGTAAACTCACTGATATTTCTAAGGCAAACAAATGTTATGATTCAAGTTTTAGATAATTAGGTGTTAGTGATTAACATTGGGAAAAGTTTACTGGTTCACATTGGAAATAGTTACATTACTTGACAATTACAAGGACTTGACCGAATTATTTTAAGTTACAGCAGTCTTTCCTTTCCTTCACTAATACTATTTTCAACCTTGCTTCCATTAATTGCCCCAGTTCCAATGACCAAATCCACTGATAGTGCAAATCAATTTATTTTCAATGTTAACTTCACCCTTGTTTAATTTGTTTATTCAATCGGGGTCCACTCTGCCTGTGGGATGATCTCCATCTTTCCCTGTGCACAGGAAGGAGGGACTAAACCAATCCGGATATTTGGAGTAATGAAGGTGTAGCTGGGGCACGTATTGTGTTTTCTGGCTTGTGCTTCTTGGCAGCTATCTAGCATTGGGTGTTTAGGGATCTAGAAATAGTTTGAGATGAGCGTACAGGAAAACCTTCTTTGGATTTGCCCAAGATCTTTGGAATTCATTTATTTCTTTCTGGGTTGGCTTGCTTTGGTTTTGGTGGATTTCATGTGACAGGCTTGTATGGTCCTGGAATATGGGTATCCGATCCTTATGGACTAACACGCTGGAAAAGTACAACCTGTAAATCCAGCATGGGGAGTGGAAGGTTTTGATCCTTTTGTTCCGGGAGGAATTGTCTCTCATCATATTGCAGCAGAGGGACATTGGGCATATTAGTGGGTGTACTCCATCTTAGCGTCCACCCGCGTTAACGTCTATACAAAGGATTGTGTATGGGCAATATTGAAACCGTCCTTTCCAGTAGTATCACTGCTGTCTTTTTTGCAGCTTTTGTTGTTGCCACTTGCCGGAACTATGTGGTATTGTTCAACAACTACCCCCATCAAATTATTTGGGCCCACTCGTTATCATTGGGTTCAGGGGTACTTCCAGCAAGAGATATATTAGCCCGTAAATCAAAGTTTATCAAAAGCTTGGTCTAAAATTCCCGAAAAATTAGCTTTTTATGATTACATCAGCAATAATCTGGCAAGAGGGGATCAATGCATGGGAAGTTATGTTCATGGAATTGATGTTAATTATGTTATTATGTTTTGGTTCACTCTCCCCATAACACCCTATTGGTTATCTCCTGGTGCTTGCTTATAGAACTATTCTTATATATGGGTCTTCCAAATTTGCTACGGCACCAGGGATATGCTATTGTTTATTGCAAGATACCTGTTTATTTCTATATTTTAAAATTTTCTCCTGCATGCTTTGCTCACCCTTGCAGCTTTTCTTTAATTTGATGAATTTGTTGGATTGTGAAATGTTCAGGTGATGGAGAAGTTAGTGTTGAGGACTTTATGAGGATGATGAGAGGAACTTCCTATGGACATTAGAATTAAATTGAACTTCTGTATATTGTTGCAAACACTAATCCGTGAAGATGTTCTTGTTCTTGGTTCTGTTTTTATTTCCGTGAAGATGTTCTATTTCGACATGGTTCACGAATATGAAAAGAATATGTAATGGGTTATGAGTGCTGGATGACATGGACAAGATTACTTAAGCTTTAATTTTCGTTTCGTGGAACTCTTGTTTCTTTCCGACACTTTTCGCAAAATGAATTTGGAAGATAAAGCAGTGATACTCTTGTAATTTTCGTAATTGTTTGGTTGTGCTGGGCTGCCTTCCAAGTAAAACAAGAAAATGCCGGCCAAACGAAGTGTGAGGTTCCTGCTAAGTAGTATGAACTTTTTAAATTTCGTGATATATGAATAAAATCATTCTTGATACAACAATAGAATCATTATTCGTTATGGCATTAACTTGCTGAAATTATAGGATCACCAGTTGCTATCCAATTATAATCCTGTGAGAGAGAATGACATCAAAGAAATAAATACAAATCATGCCTTCTCCTTTAAAGAGAAAAGCTCTTCGTTTGAACGTGAAGGATCTGATCGCTCGCCCAATCGACTCCTGCCCACAATCTCCAAACACTAAATAAAATATCATTTCAAAAATGGTATGCTAAAATTACCCTTATCATCAACAAAGATTTCAGACTTGAAGTCATTGCTTTGATTAAGATTTCAGACTTTTGCTTTGATTAAGATTTCAGACTTGAAGTCATTGCTTTGATTGATACAGGTGCCGATCTTAATTGCATTCACGAAGGTCTAATACCAACTAGGTACTATGAAAAAACTATTGAACAATTAAGTTCTACAAATGGAAGTAAAATGGATATCAAGTACAAATTGTCCAAAGCTCATATTTGTGAAAATAATGTATGCTTTAAGATATCGTTTGTCCTAGTAAAAAACATGACCGACAAATTGATTTTAGGAGTCCCATTTATTTACCTCCTATATCCATTTACCATTGATAGTGAAGGGCTTATTACTAGACCTTTTGGACAAGAGGTCCAGTTTAAATTTGTAAGTCACCCCTCTAGAAAAGAATTAAAATCAGTTATTGAATCCTCTGTTTCTAAATTCATCAATTTACTTCACAGTAACACCCAACAATTACAATTTCTAAAAGAAGAAGTCAATTACAAAAGAATTGATTCTCAATTAACAGACCCAATTCTCCAACAAAAAATTAAAAATTTTGAGAAAGAAATCCAAGACCAGGTTTGTTCTACCATTTCAACTGCCTTTTGGCATAGGAAAAAGCATTCAGTAAAACTACCTTATATTAAAGGATTTAAAGATAAACACATCCCCACTAAAGCAAGAGCAATTCAAATGAGTCCAGAAATTATGGAATTCTGCAAACAAGAAATTGCAGATCTTCTTCATAAGAAAATCATAGGAAAAGTAAATCACCATGGTCGTGTCCAGCTTTTTATGTTCAGAAAAGCTCTGAACTAGAAAGAGGTGTTCCTCAACTAGTCATAAATTACAAACCCCTTAATAAGGTCTTAAAATGGATTAGATATCCTATTCCTAATAAGAAAGACATCATTAGTAGATTAAGTCAAGCAGTGGTTTTTTCTAAGTTTGATATGAAGTCAGGTTTTTGGCAGATCCGTCTCAGAAAAAAAGATTGATATAAAACTGCCTTCACCACTCCATTTGGTCAAAATAGGTTTCTTTCTTTCATTTCTGTGACGTCTCACCATATTGCCTCTTGAAGCAATAACGCGTTGATCTAGTCGCCATCGGAGCCACAAAGGACTATCTAAATGGATTCTTTTCTGCCGATAAGCTCCAATTGCATCATAGGAATTGCAAAAAAAGGGTTCTTGTTTTTTCGTATACTTATAGTTAATTCTTTCATTTTCATTTTGACAGTCTCTGCGATTACATGGATTATACCTATTTACACAAATACCTCGACGATTCCATTCCGACCTCGATATGTGGAATCGTCTTGCGCCATATGTACTGAGATTGTTCGGGAGACATGGTAGAAGCCCGGTCTTTACTTAACTTGGCCCAAGCAATGCCCCTTGACTCCCATGCCTTTCTTGGTTGGACCAACCCAATCGGCTATTTTCCTGTCTTTCTTAGTTAGGAGAGCAAGAACAAGTCTCTTTTTTTTTTTTTGGGGGGGGGGGGGAGCAGAGCAGTCAAAGAAATGAAGCAAAGCAAATGATTTTTATAGAATGGCTATTTATTTTTCTAGGCCCTGTAGAAATTTTTCCAGGGGAACCATTTGCATTTCACTATGATGGCGCGGCGGCATCAAAGATTCTAACTTTATTTATTATTTCCGCTATAGTTCTGACACAAATCTGCATAGATTTTAGGAGGGACTCCCTTTCTAAGGAACTTTTGGATGCCCGTTCTTTAGGAAAGCTTGGGTCAGTTCGTTTTTTTATAACTTTTTTTCTTTTTTTGTTTTTATTCATAGCCACCACCCCCCTAGTCGTCACCTGCGACTGTAGGGGGACTTCCCCCACGTTAGAGTGGCACCCCCATCCTGACGCTCCCCACGACCCCGCCGTTCCCCAACCCCCCGCCCCCCTGCGTGGATCCAGCCAGAAGTTCCATGGTTAGACAGGCCCTTAATGTCGGAAACCGATCGGAGGGGGGAACTAAGCCGTCGCTTAAGTGTTTATTTCATTGGTAAACACGACGCGGGGCACCTCCGCGAATTCCTGAGCATCCTCGAGCAGCAAATGCTGCTCGAACAAAGGATAGAGGCAGCTTTGGTGGGCGATGGCTATTGCCCGGTTCGTATTTTAGCGAATCAACACGAGCTACATGGGATACTCTTTAATCATCCTACTAGGGTGGTCGCGCTTTCGGAGCGGACCCTTATGGTGTATGGGGCTCAAATCGAGCGGAATGGAACTCGGCAAAGCGTTCCCTATAATAGGGTTTTAAGAGAGATTCGAAATTTAAATCTCTTTTTTTAACGCTGGGCTGGGGAGCTCGAGAAGTAATACCAAAACCTTTCTTTTTTCGGTATGCCGCTCCGCGAGCAAGGAATGCCGCGCACGAGCGGAGCGAAAACAAAGCAAGGGGAATTCTTCGATTTTTGGGTGGGTCAATCCTTTGATTGCATATTGAATATAGATCCATGTCTTTCTTGTTCCACTAGCTAGGACCAAATTCTCACATGTCCGTTTCGTTATTACAACCTTCTTTTTTGATGTCAAAGACCCGAAGCTACACGCAAATTCTCATTGGATCTCAGTTGTTCTTAACAGCGATGGCTATTCATTTAAGTCTTCGGGTAGCACCACTAGATCTTCAACAAGGTGGAAATTCTCGTATTCCGTATGTACATGTTCCTGCGGCTCGGATGAGTATTCTTGTTTATATCGTTACGGCTATAAACACTTTCTTGTTCCTATTAACAAAACATCCCTTTTTTCTTCGCTCTTCCGGAACCGGTACAGAAATGGGTGCTTTTTCTACGTTGTTTACCTTAGTTACTGGGGGGTTTCGGGGAAGACCTATGTGGGGCACCTTTTGGGTGTGGGATGCTCGTTTAACCTCTGTATTCATCTCGTTCCTTATTTACTTGGGTGCACTGTGTTTTCAAAAGCTTCCTGTCGAACCGGCTCCTATTTCAATCCGTGCTGGACCGATCGATATACCAATAATCAAGTCTTCAGTCAACTGGTGGAATACATCGCATCAACCTGGGAGCATTAGCCAATCTGGTACATCAATACATGTTCCTATGCCCATTCCAATCTTGTCTAACTTTGCTAACTCCCCCTTCTCAACCCGTATATTGTTCGTTCTGGAAACACGTCTTCCGATTCCATCTTTTCTCGAATCTCCTTTAACGGAAGAAATAGAAGCTTGAGAAAAAACCTAGTTCACTCACTGAGTCTCTTGCATCCATGGCTGAATGGTGAAAGCCTTTTTTGATCGTAGGTTCGATTCCTGCTGGATGCACTTGGAACCTGAAGTTTGTTAACACCTTCTCTTGCAGGTACTAAACGTAGAATTCTATTATTTAGACGTAGAATCCGATTCAAGAATCTTCCTCGCCAATGAATTGAAATTCTTCGCCACGTACGTGGCGAAGAAGTCTTGTCAAAGCCCAAAACCAATAAGTGTCGACAACATCGGCGCTTTTATAGCTTGACGAAGGAGGAAGATCTTGTTTTGACACAAGATCTGGCCAAGCAGGTTTGAAAGCACGAAAACGTCCATCGAATTCATTTCAAGGAAGGCGGGAGTCTGCTTTTCAAGTACCCCTTGCTTCTTGCTTCCCCCCGGCAGATCGCCACACCAATTTCAAACAATTCGAAACCTGTAGTTTCTACCTTGTCAGTTCCTTGTCAGTTCGGGGATGATCCAGGTGCTGAAGTTCTTGTTGGGTGCCGTCGAGCTATCTCTTTCCGGCCTGACCCCTCGGGGGAGATAGGGGAGGTCAACAGCAAATAGTGGATCTTTCGCATCGGCCTTAACTAAGCCAACTGACGCTCAATTCATTGTTGAGGAAGAGATTTTCTTTGATCCTGTCTCAGAAAGAACAAGATGTAGAGGCTAATCGCCGTAGTGGTAGAACCTGGTGAACTGAACTTCAGCCGTGCTCTTTTCTCTTAAGATACCTTGTTTTCCGCGGTCAATGCGAATGTCAGCTTGGTTATCCAGTCTTGCTTTTCTCATTGTTGAACGTTGAAGCTATCGCCTTGTTCTAGCCGATCTCAGTATTGGTGTTTTTTTATGGATTGCTATTTCAAGTATTGCTCCTGTTGGACTTCTTATGTCAGGATATGGATCAAATAATAAATATTCCTTTTTAGGTGGTCTGCGAGCTGCTGCTCAATCAATTAGTTATGAAATACCATTAACTCTATGTGTGTTATCAATATCTCTACGTGTGATTCGTTGAGACAAAAACTTTCCCTATTTCCTTGCTTTATAGGAAATAAGTTAAATGCGTTGAATACATATTTTCATATTTTTTATTCAACATTTGGGTTGATGAATTAAACCAGATAGTTATATGAGTGAGAAAAACAGCTTTTAAATTCGCAGTAAAAAGATTGAGTCTCATTTCCTATGTACAAGAGTTAAGTGAAAGTAAACATAAACAGTAGAGGCTGCTTACCCCAAGATTGGTTGATTAGTCATCATGTCTTGAAGCGGGTTCAAAAGATCAACTGGATG